GATATTTCTAGTGCTTTATAATTTCTGTCTGTTTCCGGTATGTTGTATATTTCTTTTAATTTCTCAATCACTAACTCACATTCATCCTTACATTCGGTCGCCAGTCTATGCTTAAATTGTAATCTTTCATACGACAGAATAGAGTTTCCATGGAAAAAGTCGTCTATATGATACAGTCGGTGTTCTTTAAGTAATGATGAGTTTAAGGTCGGGATGTAGTATTTTAAAGATTCAATTGGCATGGCTCTATATAGTTTTGTCAAGTGACAGTTGTTTTTAAATACTATATCCCAGGCTTTAAGTGTGGTCTTAGTGGTCATAAACATTTTAGTTACTCCAGGTCTCCTTACATGGCTTAGCCAGGGTAATTCCCCGAGTTGAAAGAGGAGAATGCTAAATTCCTCCGTTTCCATCCATCTCGGCCTATTTTTTTGACTATTAAAGCTTACAACCACTGCAGCGTTAGTTGCAAAGTAGTACTTTCTGAAATTAGGGACACCAATGCCCCCATGAAGTTTTTGGTGCTGCAGGGATGTAAGCTTAATTCTGCTGGGTTTGTTGTTCCAAATAAATTTTAGCATTATTGAATGTACTTTGTTAAAGAAGGACATTGGAACAGATAAGGGGATAGTTCTAAAATAGTACAAGATTTTTGGGAGGATTGACATTTTTATGGAGGCAATTCTTCCTAACCACGATAACTCCATACTACCCCATCTCCATGTGTAGGTCCGGCCATGCTCTCTTCAAGTTATGAATATGCATATTGGGTAAATGTTTGCATAAATTAATTCCTAAATATTCCAGGTAATCCCTCCTCCAGTCGAATGGATATGATAGTCTTAATTCATCCATATCAGATTTATGCAAGTGGAAAAGTAGGGCCTGGGTCTTGGATACATTTAATTTCTAATAAGACACTTCTCCAAACTGGAGTAGAATAGTATTGAGAGATTTCAGAGAATCTTTTGGGTTTTTGAGTGCTAGAATGACGTCATCTGCAAATAACCCTATTTTATGAGTGGATCCCTTGATATTAATACCTGCGATTTCTGGGGTCATCCTAATCAGTTTGGCCAGGGGTTCCATCGCCAGGACAAAGAGAATTGGAGATAAGGGGCAGCCTTGACGCATCTCATTAGTTAGTGAAAATGTTCTGGATTGGAAACCCGAGGCCGATACATGAGCTGTGGGTGCACTGTATAGTGCCTTTATCACAGTAATAAAAGATTGTGGAATATCAAATCTGCTCAATGTCTTCCATAGATATCCACAATGTACCATGTCGAACGCCTTCTCTGCATCCAATGAAAGGAGCAGAGAAGGAGTTCTTGTTGAATTGATATGCTTGTCTACCTTTCACGAATCATACCTGGTCATTATTGATCAACAAAGGTATTAGATTAGTTCATCGGTTCGCTAGTATCTTATAATATCTTATTTTTGTGTCGTTATTAATAAGGGATATGGGCCTAAAATTAGAGCATCTGTCGGGAGTTTTACCCTGTTTTGGCAAGGTGACAATCTGTGCGGACAAAGACTCTCCTGGCATCTTCCCCCCGGACTTATAGGAGTTGAATAATTTGGACATATGAGGAATTAAAGTTTCTGCAAAGGTCTTATAGTATAAATTGGTGAATCTATCAGGACCAGGGTCCTCTCATGATGGCATGAGCTTAATCGCCTCGGCTATCTCTGCTTCAGATATATCACGCTCTAATTTTTCCAAATTAGCAGAAGACAGCTGAAGCAACGAAACCCTGTCTAAAAAATTATTAATAGTCGCCTCAGACGGCTGGGTGAGATTTCTATCAGATTCCAAATTATAAAGTATACTATAATATTTGGCGAATTGGTCACTAATCTTATCCGGGTGAAATATTTTTTGTCTCTGGTCATCTATTAAGTACGCAATTTTAGAATGGGCATTCACCTGCCGGAGATTGGAGGCCAGGAGAGTTGAGGTCTTGTTACCCTTTAACCCCTTAAGGACCAAACTTCTGGAATAAAAGGGAATCATGACATGTCACACATGTCATGTGTCCTTAAGGGGTTAAATAAAACACTTTCTTTAGGCGTCTCAACATGAGAGTAGTTCGATCCAAATTTATTTTGTGAATTTTTTATTTAATCTCTCCTATCATTGCTGACAGGGAGGAAGATGGGCCAAATTTATTTGCCTGATTTAGGTTGTACAGTTCTTTTTCCAAGTTTCTTAAGTTGCTGTTATTTTTCCTCTTCAAGTGAGACGCCCTAGAAATGAAATCACCTCTCAACACAGCCTTGTGCGCATGCCACCTCACCAGGAACCTCATGCGAAACATTTTCCAATAAATAGTCATTCAGTATCCCTTCAGCTAGCGATCTATTTTCAGGATCATCTAATAAGTAATCACTCAGTTTCCAGTGCCTATTGGGGGAGAAAGAAACCATTTTGTCTATATGCAAAGTTATGGGAGCATGATCAGACCAATTGATATCTAAAATATCAGATCTTGAGATGTGTGGTATGAGAGCGCCCTGTATCAGAAACCTGTCCAGCCTGGAATACATGTTCTTGGATACTGAGTAAAAAGTAAAGTCTCTTTCATTCTCATGTATTAATCTACATGGATCATACAGTCCATATTCAACCATATATTTTGAGCATGTCACAGCTAACCTATCACTATCTCTCCTATGGAGTTTATCCAAATTATCCTTTGCACTATCTAAGTCGCCATCCATAACAAAGTTCATATCTCCACACATCACCAAAGTCCCTTTCATGTTCTCATTCACCAAATCCATAATTTTCCTAAAGAAAGTAAGCTGACCCGTGTTAGGAAAGTACACATTGACAATTATATACCTAACATTGTTAACCTTACCAATACATACTATGTACCTCCCGTCATCATCCGTCATTATCGTTTCTGTAGAATTGGCCACATTCCTGCTAAAAAATTATGGAAGTACCTCTAGACTTAGTTTTGTAAGTGCAATGAAATTGGGAAGGGAATAACCGTGTCATAAATTTGTACTCTTTTCCTTCCTTAAGATGAGTCTCTTGAATACAGACAATATCTGATTTGTTGGATTTGACTTCTTTGAACAATAGTCGCCTCTTGTGAGCGGTGTGCAGGCCCCTCACATTAAATGACATGAGTTTAATGACCATGACTCAAATCAGAGTACACAGCCATTAAAAAGAGATTGTATAGAAATGTGGGAGCCCGAAGTTATGAAATCCAAGAATTGTAATAACAAATACATTTGTTTAGACAAGCGTGAGCGTGCTAAAACATTTGAAGCATAACCTGTTAGCTTCTTGAATTGCTTACAGTGCATTGGTAAATGGATGAGATAAAAAGGAAAAATATAAAATGGGGAATGATAAACTTGGATAAATTCCCCTATATGGGGAAAGAAAAAAACTATGTTTTGAAAAAGGGCCATGAGGGAGAATAAAAAATAATTCTCCATCTCAGGGTATTAGTTGGGAGGAGAGAAAACTGCCTGCGGCAAGGGGAAAACAATCAAAGCTTTAAAGAAAAAGAAAAAATTAACAGTGTTATGCAGAGAAGATCAATAAAGAATGGAGTCCTTCTAGTTCCGTGAACACATCTCTAATGAAGTCCAATATATGCTCAGTATGTCCCAGGCCTATATCAGAAATCAGTAATATACAATCAAAAATGTCACTATCCAATAGACATTTAACCAAGTGTTGATGCACAATAAAGAGCATAAAGAATGTGGAACCAAAAAATGAGAGAGTGGAAAAAAAAAAAGGAAAGACAAAAAACAATTTGTAAGTAATAAAATGGATGTGATAAAACAACGTGGAGAAAGTAATAAATCCAAGCCGGCAATATGTATGTTGGAGCTTTTGTGCCTTCAAAAAATTAAAAGAAAGCTTCAAGTGTCATCCTGCCCTACTTTTCTTGTGGGTGTGCCTTGGAGTAGACGGTGAGGTTACGTGAGGTTGGTTTTGATGTCTGTTTATGGCATTAAGAAGATCCATCCCTTCCTCAGGAGAAGTGATTGTGAAATTTCTGCCATCCATATGAAAGAGTAATTTTACAGGGAATCCCCATCTGTAACGAATCTCTCTTTGTCTCAGCTCTGTCGTGAAGGATTGAAATTCCCTGCGGCGTCACATAGTGTAAGCTGAGAAATCTTGGAAAACTTTAAAATATTTATAATCCGCAGGGAGACCTGATTTGCGAATAGTGCTCAGGAGTTCCTGTTTTATATGAAAAAAGTGTAATCTCACTATGGTGTCTTTTAGAGTTGTTGCAGGTGCATTGCCAGATTTAGGGAGTCTGTGGATATGATCCACTATTAGATCTAAATCAGTAGCTTTGGGTAAAATCATTTCAACCATTTTTTGGAAATAAAGTATCAAGTCCGAGGTGTCCACTTTATCAGGTATCCCTCTGATCCTCAAATTGTTATGCCTGCTCCTGTCTTCAGAATCTGACATTTTTTCCGCTTGCAAGTTGACCTGTTTCTGAAGTTCCTTCACAGTGTTAACGAGATCTAAATGTGATTGTTCTTGCACCTGCATTCTGTATTCAACATCTTCTGTACGTTGACCAATGTTTTCTAAAACTCAGTACATAGTGTCAAAATCTTTTCTAAAGTCATTCTTTAAATCCACTCTCAAATTTTGTATAAGTTGAATAATCATACCAGCAGAAGGTGGTAAATCCTCTGCCATTTCAAGCGGCATATTAGGATTGTAGGTCATGGTTTTGAATCCTGAAGAAGCCATCTTGGATGTGGCAATTTCCATGTTAGAAGTGGCCATCTGGTGGTGGCAGTGGTTACATGTACAGTGGTAGACATCTTGGGTGTGGTAAAATCATTAATAGAAGTCTCATTAGTAGCCATCTTGGTAGAGGCTTCATGCCTAATGTTTTGTTGCATAGAAGAATAATAAATGGAGCCTATTTCTTCCTCCAGTACATCACAATGTATTAAATTGTCACCATCATCTACCAATTCTTTGTCTTTTAGGGAGATGGAGGGAAAGACCCCCCTGCCGGTGTTCCCAGCCGTGAGGCTGAGGACCTCGATGGGGAGCGAGACCTCATTCCCCCTGTACCCTCCTCTGTATCCTGGCCGCTTTTGTATACCAGCGACCGGGCCGCTTCTGCTAAGCCGTTCGCGGGAGATTGTCCGCGGCCCTCCGAGCTTGCCGAGCGCCCAGAGTGCACTGAGCCGTCCTCAGATGTCGCGGCACTTGCAGCCGCGATCCCGCGGCTCTGAGAGTAATGCGAGCAGGTCGCGGCTGCGCTCGCATAAGAGCGGGTCTGAGTAACTGGGCAGGCGGGTGGGATAGTTTTCACCACTCCCACCAACGTGGATTTCTGTGTCAAAATAAGCCGCGGGCCAGCCTCTCGCTTTTGCATTAAAGGCACGTTTTTTTTCCATTTTTTTTTTCTGCATTGTTGCCAGTTGTTCAGGTGTCTCTTTCTGTGTAAAATTCTCTGTCATCCAGGCTTAATAATTTATTTATGAAACATTTATGTCCCTTTGCCTCAGGAGCTCCTCTAGAATGTGACCAGACTCCGCCCCACCGCATAATAAGTTATTCTAATTACCAACATTACATTTTGCAAGTCGGTTTAAGATCATTCTGGAATGGGGTGTTCCCCTATAGAGGAGGATGGTGGGGTATATCACTGAATCATGTGGTCCAAGATCGAGGATCTTAATCCAGCTTTCCCAAATTGTATATCTAGAGGGACTGATACAGACTGTTGAGGCAATACCTCTTTCTATTTTACATTGAGATTTGCTGTTCTCTTTAATTTGTGGCCATGTATTTATTGTTTGCTTTTTCCCATTTCTGGCAATTAACATTTTAAATGCCATCAGAGCATAAATCAGTAGCCACCTTTTCTCCTTTGGAAATTGGGGTAAATTCAAATGCAGCAACATTGTTTTAGGAGACCATGCCCTAGTAATGCCTAATACCTTATTAATCTCTAGTAAAAAGGAGTTCCAAGCTTCCTTAATCAAGGTACAATTCCACCACAGGTGCATATCATTCGCACCATCTAAGTCACATCTCCAACATTTCTGCGTGTCACACTGAGAGAACTTGGCAATTTAGCGGGGGTCAGATACTGTTCATCAGTTTGAAATGCACCTCCATTATAGTCAAGCAGTAGGCCAAATAATATACAAACTGTAAGTCTGCATACCATTCATCTATATCAATCGTAGTGTGTAGGTCTTTTTCCCATCGACCCTTAGCAGAGGGTAGAGCCGGTCCTTTACTTAATCTTATAATACCTGCATATTTTGATAGTAATTTTGTACATTGATCCTTTTTAATGATCTCATTTAATTTAGTGACCAAGACAGGACAGTTTGGACAACATATAGAGTTAATTAAAAATGTTCTGATAAAAATGTTCTGATAAAGGTAAAATTCTGTGTTGGAGAAAGCCCAAGTAAATTTTGGATTTCAGACAAGGACATTATTTTTGAGTTCTTAAATAAATCCAAAAATGATTTAATGCCGTGATGTGACCATCCAAATTATCACATCACCTGGGTAAATACGTTAGTGAAAGTGCGGGGAGGATTTTGCCTTGTAAATGTACTTGTTTTTTAAAATAATTCCAAAATGTAATTAGAGGTTTTAAAATAACATTGTCAGTCTGTCCTGTCTTGGTTCTAATGTATGTGTTTGTTCTTATTGACCAAAGCAGATTGATGACATTAGATGGTTCTCCAATGTGGGTGGATTTTATTTCGTACCAACATTGAGTGACATTGTCCTAATTGATCGTAGTGATCGTATGCATTAGAAGAGCCGCTTGGTGAAATAAGAAAATGTTTTGGAAGCCAATTCACCCTTGTTTATGTTTTAGGTATAATATCTATGCCAATTCTAGGTTTCTTATTAAACCATATATAATTACTAAATATTTTATTAATATGATTCAGCCAGGAAAATGGGATTGGGAACATCCTGAGTAGATAGACTATCTTTGGAAAGATATAAGCTTTTATAGTGTTAACTCTGCCCAACCATTACAATTCCAAAGAGCTCAAGTTTTTTAATAGATGTAAAATCTCCTGTACTAATGGGACTAAATTGGTCATCATTAAATCAGAGGGGTCATAAACAATGTTTATTTGCAGATATTTAAACTCCTTCGTTTCCTATTTAAAAGCATATTGTTTGTTTAAAGGAAGATAATATTTTTCTTGTAAATACATAGGTAAAACAACCGTTTTTTTGTGCATTAAGTTTGTGATTTGAGAGGAGACTATATTGATTTATTATATTCATTAGTTCTGGTAGTAAGAGATTGGATCAGCAAGAGTTAGTAGAGTGTCGTCTGCACACTGGTTCATCTTAAATTCTTTATTGTTTATCTGAAAGCCCTTTATTTTTTAATTTGAACAGATTTCATAAGCTAATGGTTCAGCAACTAAAATATAAAGGAGTGGAGAAAAAGGACAGCCTTGGCGGGTATTGTTTGAGATGTCAAACCAATAACACCTGAGTCCACCCCCCACTATTCTACTCGACGGGGAGGAGTATAGTGCCATCACTGCCGAGAGAATCTGTCCTGTAGAACCAAAGCTCTCTAAGGTTGCTTTCATGAAAACCCAGCTAACTCTGTCAAAAGCGTTCTTCTCATCCTGAGCCATAGTGAGAAATGGAATCCTAGCAAGATGGATTTTCGCCTATTAATTTATTATTTTCATAATGTGATTGGAGGAAGTTCTCCCCGGAAAAAAAGTCCACTTGATCCTCTGATATTAATGTGGGATAAAATGTTTCATTCTTTTAGATAAAACCAAAACCCAGCATAGGTTTTATAATCGTTATTCGAGAGAGCTATTGGTCTATAACTAGGTATTTCTTCTGCATTTTTATTTTAAGTATGGGGATGATATTAGCTTTAAGAATCTATTTTGGTATATCCCCTGAAACCATAAATAAAATAAAGCAATCAGCCAATCTTTGAAGCAGCAGATCTTTATAAATTTTTTAAAAAGAGTCGACAAAGCCATCCAGCTCTTGATCTTGTCTTAATTTATTTATTAATGTATTACTTTGGAGTTCTTTGACTTTGTTAGTAAGTAGTTTGCTAGCTTTGTTCACCCTATAATAGAAATTAGTTTTCATGAGCTCCATATTTTTATTTGCTTTAAATATTATGACATCATTGATTTTATTTTCGAGAGATTTTATTTGATTGGATATAACTCTGAAGGGCTATATTCCATTTGTTACAATCATCCAGTTCAATATATAAATGTGATAAAGATTTTGATTTATTCTGCTTAACATGACCAACAAGGCTATTTATATAACATCTGATGACACTTTTAAAAGCGCACCACTTCATGATGACTTCATTATCACAATTATCCAACCAATAGAGTTCAATTGTCTTAGCAATATGATCTCTATTTTCTTTAGACAAAAGTAGTTTGTCATTTAGTTTCCACTCTGGCCAATGTCTAGGGAATAGTGTATTCAATTGAAGTTAAACCATATTGTTGACTGACCAAGGAATCGGAATGATGTTGGTTGTTTTTACTCTCTTCAGCAAATTACGATCAATCAGAATTAAGTCGATTCTGAAAAATGAACAATGGGTTTTACTGAAACAAGTGAAATCTATGTCAGATAGTTGAAAATTTCTCCATCAAATAATGGCAAGGAAGGATTACAGTGGAAAAATGTAAGATGGAGGTTTAATGCTTACTCATATAATAGTTTACAGTTTTGCGATGACACGTAGTTTGGCATGAGTTAAAATGACACTTTACATTGCTAACCACAGCCACATGGTTGGTTATGGTGCAGGGAGGATTTGTTAGGTTGTTTCGTCTACACTACAAGCTGTTATATTGTAGATTAATTATTGTGTTCTTAAATATACACTTTTTCTAAAAAAACATACATCCAGATATTTAAAATTATGTGCAAAATATGACAAAACAACTAGCTTAAGCAGATAATCATACGTCTTTACTGGTCTTACAGTACAAGATCTCTTTCCTTTACCATAGGAGAAAGCTCCTTTCTTCAAGCCTACATGGATGACGTCTTATCCTTTGTACAGTTCTGTAAATAATGATTACCAGAGAGCTATCATGTCACATATATAGTTGTAGAATTTTATCATATCCATTGTTTGAAAAGTAAAAATGTTCAGTTTTTTTTTACCTTTATTACCGTTTTATTAATTGTGTAACCAACAAATATGTAAGAGTGTAGTTGTAGAAATGTTTGTATTTTTTGAAAAAGCTTTGGATTTTTTATTGCCCTAAAACTCACATATAAATAAATATATCTGAAAAATGGTTTTACTGATTTCTGAAAATTATTAAACATGCTATTTTGGATATTTAATCAGTGTGCCCATTGCCAGCCTTTCATGATATCTTCAGAATATTGTTCTGTAGACACAGTGGTGCACTAAACACTATGTGGAATTGTATTCTTGAAAAAACAATTATCATTCTAAGGATCATAAACATGTATAGATCAATATTTTTGTTTCTGGCATTACTCGATGTAGAGTATATTTTAGTTCATGACAGAGAAATATTCTTTGCTCTTCAATCCTAGTAATTTGCCATCCATTTCATATCTCTGACTGCATGATCGATAAGGCTATCTTTCTGAAAACTAGCAGAGTAATGTGTTGTATTTGGACTAATAATTCTGAGTAAGTTTTGAGAAGGCACTGGAATCTGATGCCAAATAAAACATACTGAAAACTTTCAAGATTGTCAGTGTGAGGAACAACACAATACATTTCTATGTTTTATAGATACATAGTGTGTTACCACATCAAATAAGCAAACTCTAACTGCCAAAACCCCGGCAGAACAATTTCTTTAAAAAAAAAAAACAGTTTTCATGACTTGATTTGTTGCAAAATTGTTAAAGGAAGGAGAAATGCAAACTTAATTTAAGATTCTAAATCTAGCCAAACCATGAACTCAAAAAAATACATTTTGAAACGTGTTCAGGATAAATAAGCCCATAAGTTATAGCCCAGCCGTAAGGCATACGAGTTAGGCTTATTTTAATTACGTTAACTACTGATGACTGAAATAATTAATCTTTTGGCCACCTCAGATTTTTGAATGTACTTGTATTTTTTGACTTACATTTTTTTTTTATTGAAAACATTTCAAAATGAAATTATAAATTATGCTGTTTTGAGCTTGTGGTTCACCTGTTTCACATATTTTGAGTACTTGGCATAAGTTGTCTTTTAGGTCAAAATAGCAACAAAATTTGCCAAATGGAAAAAAAATGGGGAACAGATGCTGTCCTTTTTAGTAAAAGTATAGAACTAAATTTCCTCAGTCAGCACTATATACAGCACTGTGCGATCTACACCATCTGTAAGGGTACATG